CCTTTCCCCCGGACCCTGTCTCTCTGAATGAGCTCTCCCTCAGTCCCTTTCCCCTGGACCCTCTCTCTCTCTGAATGAGCTCTCCTTCAGTCCATAGGAACTCCTTCAGTAATCCATAGGAAAGGCTCTCTCCTATCAATCCTCTCTCATAAGAAATACGAGTACAGGTAGACCATATGCCATTCTGCCTGTTCTGTTCATCAACGCATGGCTGAGCTCTGGTCTGAACTTCACTTTCCCGTCTGCTCCCGAGATATCTCCCTGCATTGTTGGCTGTCCCACTGTTGTCTGACAATAACGCCCTCATTCTCTACAATTGTAACAAGAGATCCACTCTGTGCCAGAATTCTCCTACCTGTCCCTGCCAGTCTGTAATGTTCACCAGGATAATGCTCTCTGGCAGCTGGTCATCTGAAATTAGGATCTGATTCAGTTGATCATAAACAGACTTCCGAGGGACCTGTCCAGCAAAGGAGTAAGTCATGATATCAGTGACAATTATAGAAAAAGATGTTTAATTATTTCCTGACATGTGGAATAAACTAAAGGGAAGGGAGCACTTTTATTTGAAGCTTCCCTTTCTCTACAGGAGGAAGAATGAGCTGATTAAAGTCCGAAGTGACTACTTGCAGCCAACCTCAGAACCCCACGTCATTAAGGGATGCCTGATCTTCATCTTGGATATTTACAGAATCACAGAGTGCGGAAGAGGCCCTTCAGCCCATCGAGTCTGCACCAATACATGAGAAATAACTGACATTCAACCTAATCCCATTTACCAGCACTTGGCCCATAGCCTTGAATGTTATGACATGCCAAGTGCTCATCCAGGTACTTTTTAAAGGATGTGGGTAAACTCGCCACTACCACCCTCCCAGGCAGTGCATTCCAGACTGTCACCACCCTCTGGGTAAAAAAGTTTGTTCCCCCTAAACCTCCTTCCCCCTACATTGAACCTGTGTCTCCTCATGACTGACCCTTCATCTAAGGGGTACTGCTGCTCCTTATCTGCTCTGTCCATGCCCCTCATGACCTTATACACCTCATTCAGGTCAACCCTCAGCCTTCTCTACTCCAACAAGAACAACCCAAGCCTATGCAACCTTTCCTCATAACTTAATTTTGCCAGCCCAGGTAGCATCCTGGTGAATCTCCTTTGCTCCCCCTCCAGCGCAATCCCATCCTTCCTATCATGTGGCAACCAGAACTGCACATAATACTCCAACTGCGGTCTCACCAAAGTTCTGTACAACCTGTACATGACTTTCCTGCTTTTGGAATCCATGCTTTGATGGATAAAGGCAAGTGTCCAAAACGCCTTTCCTCAGACTTCCCTATGGCCTTGGCAACTGGAATCTCAGGCAATCTTGCTCCAATATTGGCAACGTTATCTCAAAGTGCTCTCTTCTCCATGCCTCCCAAACTGGGCACTAAACCTGCCTGGGTCACTCACGAGTGCAAAAGCCAGGTCACACAACTTGTCAATGCTGCAATCCAACACATATCATCAGCTTTGCCAAATTCCCATTTCCCACAGTTGCTATCCAAATGAAATTGAAAGCAAATGGTTGGAAAATCTAATTTCACATGGCTAAAACATTTAAGTTCATTTTAGCCCAATCCTATTTTGACATTCAGAAAAGGCTGCAATATTTTGTAAATCACAGTGACAAACCATGAGGCACTAAGCAGAGGAAATTGAACAAACAGAAAAATATTTCAGTATGGTCACACATCAGTTCACTTCCTCAGGTATGATACAGTCTTGATCAAATGCAGCAAGACCTGGACAATATCGTGGCTTCAGCTGACAAGTTGCAAGTCACTCAGGTATCAGGCAATGCCCATCCTCAACACTAGATTCAAACCACTGACCCTCTGTACTATTGGAGGGTCAGTACTGAGGGAGCGCTGCACTGTCGGAGCGTCAGTACTGAGGGAGCGCCGTACTGTCAGAGGGTCAGTACTGAGGGAGTGCCGCACTGTCGGAGGGTCAGTGCTGAGGGAGTGCCGCACTGTCGGAGGGTCAGTGCTGAGGGAGTGCCACACTGTTGGAGGGTCAGTGCTGAGGGAGCGCCGCACTGTTGGAGGGTCAATACAGAGGGAGCATGCACTGTTGGAGGGTCAGTACTGAGGCAGTGCCACACTGTCGGAGGATCAGTACTGAGGCAGTGCCGCACTGTTGGAGGGTCAGTGCTGAGGGAGTGCCACATTGTCGGAGGGTCAGTGCTAAGGGAGCGCGGCACTGTCGGAGGGTCAGTGCTGAGGGAGCACTGCACTGTCAGAGGGTCAGTGCTGAGGGAGTGCCACATTGTCGGAGGGTCAGTGCTGAGGGAGCGCCGCACTGTCAGAGGGTCAGTGCTGAGGGAGTGCCGCACTGTCAGAGGGTCAGTACTGAGGGAGCACCGCACTGTTAGAGGATGGGATTGAAGGTTTGCCGCATTATCTGGGCTCTCAAACGAAGGGCTCCTTTTTGGATGAGTCTTGGGAGAGTGATGACTCTATCCGAGTAAGCCAGGGACTTCATGCACTGGAACGAAGCTGGAGTGGTGGTGGGAAAGAGAATCATATTCCCATTAACCTGAGTGTTGAATCTGGAGTCTGGCAAGCACTCGCTGTCGAAACTGCTGGCTCTGTCACCTTGTGTCTTTGAGTTGTGGCGATCCTTCAGTGAAGTGCTCCTGGGTCGTCGTAGCTGTCTACTTTCAGACTTACTGAATGGGAAATAAGAAGAAACACTTCAGTAGTTCCCACGAAACAAACAGAATTGTCCTTATAAAGGAAACGTTTTGAATAGCCTCCAGGTGCTGTCCTCACTCTTGCAGGCAATTTCATATTATGAGGGAAGGATTTACAATTATCGCAGGAAATCTAACATAAAAGTGGCAAGAGCTCTGCTTGTCAAAACAGGCTTGTTAAAGTTGAAGCTTCAGGTCTTGCCTGAAAGGGGAGACAGTGGTGCAGTCACTGGTAATGTCACTGAACTAGTAATCCAGAGGCCCAAAAGCAGGAGGGACACAGTTTCAGATCCCAACAGGGGCAGTTGGTTAAGTTTCAATTCAATTAACAAGCCTGGAATTTAATACTTGTCTTGGTAATGGTGACCATTAAACTACCATCGCTGACGGCTGGAATTCAGGGACAGAAACCTGCCATCTGTACAAGGTCTGCTTCTTGTTTGACTCCAGACCAACAGCAATGTGGTTAGTTCTTGACTACCCTCCAAAACGGTCAAGCAAGCCATTCAGTTTAAAGGTAATTAAGTAACAAGTAACTAATGCTGTTTTCGTCAGCAATATCCAAATCCCAGGGCTTAATTTTTTCAAACGAGTCTGTTTTAATAACTTTAGATATCTGAATGTGCAGCCTCTGGGCTGCTAATTTAGTAATATGTTCACTCTACCAGTGGAGTGCCACATTAAGGTTAACTGTTCCCAAATTTCCAGCCTCAGGAGGATGACAGTGTAAAGCTGACCTGACTGTGTATACTCTGAATGCTAAGGTACAGTATAGCAACATGTGACCCAACCAACCCTGCCTTTGGTCAAGGAATATTTTGAATAGTCAGAGTTCCACATCTCTTTAGCTCTGTAAACATGCTGTGACATTCTGTGAAACAGCCCGCAAAACTCACAGAGCTCAGGGTAAACCTGGCCCACAGTATAGCCATGCCCATCCTGAATGAATGCTGAGAAAAACTCAAGACGAGATCAGTAACTTGATTAACAATATACCCTGTCTCCATGAAGAGGAGGAGCCTGGGCACCAAAATATCGAAAAACAGGCAAGTTCAAGGGTGGTTGCTAAAATAATCTGTTACCATATTGATACCCTTACAAAAAGGAGAATTACAATAGACATCATAAAAAATGTGAAGATTTTCATAGGTTTTTCACATATGGAATGAAGAGTTGGGCTAAGGAGGTTGAGGAACAGTAGACAATGGAAGACACTGTATGGTATTCTCTGAAAGTGATGCCAATCCACAAGCCCGGTCCCTCAAGGAACAGTGAGGGTTTCTGCTGGCATATGGGTAAGTGGGGGATAAGGCTCAGTGGTTAGCACTGCTGCCTCATAGCACCAGGGACCCCGTGTTCAATTCCACCCTCGGGTGACTCTCTGTGTGGAGTTTGCACGTTCTCCCCGTGTCTGTGTGGGCTTCCTCTGGGTGCTCCGGTTTCCTCCCACAAAACATGGTGGATTGGCCATGCTAAATTGCCCGCAGTATTCAGGGATGTATAGGTTAGGTGGGTTACAGGAGGATGGGTCTGGGTGGAATGCTCTGAGGGTCAGTGTGGACTTGTTGGGCTGAAAGGCCTGTTTCCACACTGTAGGGATTCCATAAGAAATGTGGAGAAGCTCAGTATGTAACATTGAGGAGTATGGAGAGAAAGTGAGGATGTGAGTTAGGGATATGGAGAGTAGGTGAGGTTGGGGGATAATGGGAAGTGGTGGGGTTGGGGTTATGAGGAGTCAGTGGGATTTGGGGGCACAGGGAACAGGTGTGCTTGGGGGATATGGGGTGTAATTGAGGTTGGAAGATATGGGGAGTAGGCGGGGATGGGAACTAGCAAGAATAAGTGAGGGTGGGCATATGGAGAGTTGGTAGAATTAGGTATATGGGCAGAATGTGAGGATGGGGATATGGGGAGTAGGTAGTGTTTGAGGATATGGGCAGCAGGTGAGGGTGGGGATATTCTGTTGAATTTTCTTCACTTCACTAGAAAGCATTGGCGATTGGATCACTGACTTTATTCATGTAGGGTTTGATAGATTTTTGATCAACAACTGATTCAAGTGCTATGGAGCGCTGAAGCCACAATCAGATCAGCCATGATCTTACTGAATGAAGGAAGAAAGTGGAGGGGTTGAATGGACTCCTCCTGCTCCTAAGTGCTATGTGCCTTTATGAGTTGTTAGGTGGATGTACTGGGTGATATGACAATCTATTTGAAAGGATTGTTGGTTGCTGTCCTGAACGATCTTCTCTTCATGATGATTTATTACTGTATTTCATTACCTAGGAGATACAATAACCTGTGATTCGGTTTTTGTGATTTTCGCTAATGGTGGTAGTTTCTCCAGAGATGCTTCCAAGTTATTCCAGTCTCCAGCTATCGTCTCTTCCTCCTCCAAATCCTGATGAGAAATCAGAAATACTAATTGCCAACAAGGCAGTTTCTGCAGATTGTTATCAGCCACTATTTCAGTGACACACATAACATACATTATGCCATTTATAACTGTACAATACCTATAAAAAAAACCCGAAAGAACTGCGGATGGTGTAAATCAGTAACAAAAACAGAAGTTGCTGGAAAAGTTCTGAGGAAGGACCACTGGACCCGAACGTTAACTCTGACTTATTTCATCACAGATGTTGCCAGACCTGCTGAGCATTTCCAGCAACTTCTGTTATTGTTGCACAAAAACTATAACTGGGTCCAAGTGTACACACAGGATGGACAGACTTCTTCTGGTTTCTTAGTAACAGCGCCTCAGTCACCTATGACACACTGGGAAATACCAACCCTGTTACCAACCATTGTGTGTAACACGTTCCTTCATTCATCACAATCTGTTGGATGCATATGGACTTCAGTAAAGAGTTCGACAAGAATCCTCATTGTAGACTGGTTAGCAAGGTTAGATCACTCGGAATACAGGGGGATACCAGCCCTTTGAATACAGAACTGGCTCAAAGGTAGGAGACAGAGGGTGGTGGTGGAGGGTTGCTTTTCAGACTGGAGGCCTGTGACCAGCAGTGTGCCACAAGGATCGGTGCTGGGTCCACTACTTTTTGTCATTTATATAAATGATTTGGATGTAAACATAGGAGTTATGGTTAGTGAGTTTGTAGATGACACCAAAATTGGAGGTATAGTGGACAGCGAAGAAGGTTACCTCAGAATACAATGGGACCTTGATCAGATGGGCCCAGGTGCTAAGGAGTGGCAGATGGAGTTTAATCTAGATAAATATGAGGTGCTGCAAAGTTTTGGAGTAGATCTGCATGAGGTGCTGCATTTTGGAAAAGCAAATCCGGGCAGGAACTTATACACTTAACGTTAAGGCCTGGGGAGTATTGCTGAACAAAGAGACCTTGGACTGTAGGTTCATAGCTCCTTGAAGGTGGAGTCCCAGGTAGACTGGGTGGTGAAGAAGGCGTTTGGTACGCTTGCCTTTATCAGTCAGTGTATTGAGTATAGAAGTTGGGAGGGTCATGTTGCAGCTGTCCAGGATGTTGGTTAGGCCACATTTTGGAATACTGCACTCAGTTCTGGTCTCCCTGCTACAGGAAGGATGTTGTGAAACTTGAAAGGGTGCAGAAAAGATTTACAAGGATGTTTCCAGGGTTTCCAGGAGCTGGATGTTTCCAGCTATAGGGAGAGGCTCAATAGGCCAGGGCTATTCTCCCTGGAGCATCAGAGGCTGAGGGGTGACCTTATAGAGGTTTATAAAATCATGAGGGCCATGGACAAGGTGAATAGTCAAGATCTTTTCCCCGGGGAGGAGTAGTCCAAAATAGAGGACATAGGCTTAAGGTGAGAGGGAAAAGATATAGTTGGGACCTAAGGGGCAACTTTTTCATGCAGAGGGTGATGCGTGTATGGAATGAGCATCTGGATGGGTATATGAATAGGAAGGGTGTGGAGAGACATGGGCCAAATGCTGGCAAATGGGACTAGGTCAGATTGGGATGTCTGGTCAGTGCTGATGAGTTGGACCGAAGGGTCTGATTCCATGCTGTATGACTCTATGATGAAGGCGGCAATGGCAGAAATTGCTGGGTCTAGGCAGAGGTCTTTGTATCCTCTTTAGCCACAGGCAAGCTCCCAGAAGACTGCAAAACAGCCAATGTTGTTCCTTTGTTTAAGATGGTCAACAGGGATAATCCAGGAAATTACAGGCAGGTGAACCTTTCATGAGTGGTAAGGCAATTATTGGAGAAGATTCTTAGGGACAGGATTTACTTGCATTTGGAGAAGAATGGCCTTATGATTGATGAGGGTAAGGGAATGGATGTTGTCTACATGGATTTTACTAAAGCATTTGAAAGGTCCCTCATGGTAGACTGGCCGACAAGATAACGAAGTATGGAATCCACATGTGAGCAGGTCAGATGAATAGACAATTGGCTTGGTCATAGAGTATACAGCATAGTTGTGGAGGGTGTTTTTCTGGCTGGAAGTCTCTGACCAGTGGTATTCCACAAGGATCAGTACTGTGACCTCTGTTGTTTGTAATATAGATTAATGATTTGGATGAAAATGTTAGTGGTCTAATTTGTAAGTTTGCCCAATCCAATACCAGCATGAAAACTGTTGGAGCTGTGGATAGTGAGGCAAGTTGTCAACGGATACAGCAGGATATAGATCAGTTGGAGAGTTGGGCAGAGAAATAGCAGATGGAATTTAATCTGGACAAGTGTAGAGTGATGCACTGTGGGAGGTCAAAGGCAAAAGGGAAGTATATAGTAAATGGCAGGACCCTGAGGAGCATTGATACACAGAGGGATCTTGGGGTGCAAGTCCATAGCTCCCTGAAAGTGGCAACACAAGTGGATAATGGTAAAGAAGGCATATGGCATGCTTACCTTGATCACCTGGAGCGTTGAGTATGAAAGTTGACAAGTCCTGTTGCAGCTGTATAAGAGATAGTAGGAACTGCAGATGCTGGAGAATCTGAGATAACAAGATGCAGAGCTGGATGAACACAGCTGGCCAAGCAGCATCAGAGGAGCAGGAAAGCTGATGCTTCGGGCCTGGACCCTTCTTCTCCAGACCCACAGCAATGTGGTTGAAACTCAGTTGCCCTCTGAAATGGCCTAGCAAGCCACTCAGTTATACCAATCGTTACAAAGACTCAAATAAATGAAACCAGATGGAACACCTGGGATTGACCAAGGCACCGGAAAAGACAACGGCAGAAACAGCCCTGTCTACTCTGCCAAGTCCTCCTCATTTACATCTGCGGGCTTGTGCCAAAACTGGAAGCGCCGTCTAACAGACTAGTTAAGCAACAGCTTGACACAGTCATACTCACAGAATCATACCTTACAGACAACGTCCCAGGCACCACCATCACCATCCCTGGATATGTCCTGTCTCACCGGCAGGACAGACCCAGCAGAGGGGGGTGACACAGTGGGATATAGTCGGGAGAATGTTGCTCGAGGAGTCTTCAACATTGACTCCAGACCCCATGAAGTCTCATGGCTTCAGGTTAGACATGGACAAGGAAACCTCTTGCTGATTACCACATACCGTCCTCCCTCAGCTGATGAATCAGTCTCTCCTCCATGTTGAAAGACACTTAGAGGAAGCACTGAGGATGCCAAGGGCACAAAATGTACTCTGGGTGGGGGATTTCAGTGTCCACCACCAAGAGTGGCTCAGCAGCAGTACTACTGATCAAGCTGGTCGGGCCCTAAAGGCCATAGCTGCTAGACGGGGTCTGCGGCAGATGGTGAGGGAACCTACAAGAGGGAAAAAACATACTTAACCTCATCCTTTCCAATGTGCCAGCTGCAGTTGTATCTGTCCATGACAGTATCGGAAAGAGTGACCATTTCACAGTCCTTGTGGAGACAAAGTCCCACCTTCACATTGAGAATACCCTCCATTGTGTTGTGTGGCACTATCACCGTGCTAAATGGGACAGACTTCGCACAGATGCAGCAACTCGAGACTGGGCATCCATGAGGCGCTGTGGGCCATCAACAGCAGCAGAATTATACTCCAGCACAATCTGTAACCTCATGGCCTGGCATATCCCCCACTCAACCATAACCGTCAAGCCAGGGGATCAACCCTGGTTCAATGGAGAGTGCAGGAGGACATGCCAGGAGCAGCACCAGGCATACCTGAAGATGAGGTATCAACCTGGTGAAGCCACCACACAGGATTACTTGCACGCCAAACAACAAAAGCAGCAAGTGATAGACAGATCTAAGCAATCCCACAACCAACGGATCAGGACTAAGCTCTGCAGTCCTGCCACATCCAGTTGTGAATGGTGGTGGACAATTAAACAACTCACTGGAGGAGGAACCTCCACAAATATCCCCATCCTCAATGATGGGAGCCCAGCACATTAGTGCAAAAGATAAGGCTGAAGCATTCGCAGCAATCTTCAGCCAGAAGTGCTGAGTGGATGATCCATCTCAGCCTTCTCCAGTCGTCCCCAGCATCACAGATACCAGTCTTCAGCCAATTCGATTCACTCCAAGTGATATCAAGAAACAGTCGCAGACACTGGATACTGCAAAGGCTACGGGCCCTGACAACATTCCGGCAATAGTACTGAAGACTTGTGCTCCAGAACTTGCCATTCCCCTAGCCAAGCTGTTCTAGCACAGTTACAACACTGGTATCTACCTGACAATGTGGAAAATTGCTCAAGTATGTCCTATACATAAAAAGCAGGACAAATCCAACCCGGCCAATTCCCGCCCCATCAGTCTCCTCTCGATCATTAGTAAAGTGATGGAAGGTGTCAGTAACAGCGGTATCAAGCAGCACCTGCTCAGCAATAACCTGCTCAGTGACGCCCAGTTTGGGTTCCACCAGGGCCACTCAGCTCCTGATCTCATTACAGCCTTGGTTCAAACATGGACAAAAGAGCTGAATTCCAGAGGAGAGGTGAGAGTGACAGCCCTTGATATCAAGGCTGCATTCGACCGAGTGTGGCATCAAGGAGCCTGAGCAAAACTGGAATCAATGTGTATCAGGGGGCAAACTATCCGGTGGTTGGAGTCATGCCTGACCCATAGGAAGATGGTTGTGGTTGTGGGAGGTCAATCATCCCAGCTCCAGGGCATCTCTGCAGGAGTTCCTCAGGGTAGTGTCCTGGGCCCAACCATCATCAGCTGCTTCATCAATGACCTTCCCTCCATCATAAGGTCAGAAGTGGGGATGTTCACCGATGATTACACAATGTTCAGCACCATTCCTGACTCCTCAGATACTGAAGCAGTCCATTTTCACATGCAACAAGATCTGGGCAATATCCAGGCTTCGGCTGACAAGTGGCAAGTGACATTCGCACCACACAAATGCCAGGCTATGACCATCACCAATAAGAGACAATCTAACCACCGTCCCTTGACATTCAATGGTGTTACTATCACGATCAACATCTTGGCTGTTATCACTGACCAGAAACTCAAATGGACTCACCACATAAACATAGTGGCTACAAGAGCAGATCAGAGGCTAGTAATACTAGGAGACTAGGCAAGTAACTTACTTCCTGACTCCTCAAAGCCTGACCACCATCTACAAGGCACAAGTCAGGAGTGTGATGGAATACTCCCCACTTGCCTGGATGGGTGCAGCCCCAACAACACTCAAGAAGCTTGACACAATCCTGGACAAAGCAGCCGCTTGATTGGCGCCACATTCACAAGCATCCACTCCCTCCACCACCAACACTCGGTAGCAGCAGTGTGTACTATCTACAAGATGCACTGCCGAAATTCACCAAAATTCCTCAGACAGCACCTTCCAAACCCACAGCCACTTCCATCTAGAAGGACGAGGGCAGCAGATATATGGGAACACCACCACCTCTAAGTTCCCCTCCAAGCCACTTACCATTCTGACTTGGAAATACATCACCGTTCCTTCACTCTCACTGGGTCAAAATCCTGAAATTCCCTCCCTAAGGGCATTTTGGGTTAACCCACAGTAGGTGGACTGCAGCGGTTCAAGAAGGCAGCTCACCACCACCTTCTCAAGGGCAACCAGGGATGGGCAAGAAATGCTGGCCAGCCAGCGATGCCCATGTCCCACAAATGAATAGAGGAAAAAAAAATTGGAGCATTGTGTGCAGTTCAGGTTGCTACACTGCAGGCTTAGGAATGGGTGCAGAAGAGGTTTACCATGATGTTACCTGGATCGGAGTGTATTAGCTATAAGGAGAGATTGGATGGAGATGGACGGGTGACCTGATAGAAGCATATGCAATTTTAAGAGGCATGGATAAGGTGAATAGTCAGAATCGTTTTTCCAGAGTGGAAATGTCAAATACTAGGGGGCATAGGTTTAAGGTGAGAGGGGAAAAGTTTAAAACAGATGTGCAAGGCCAGACTTTTACAATGAGGGTGGTAGGTGCCTGGAATGCGCCACCAAAAGAGGTGGTAGAAGCAGATACATACAAAGTTTAAGAGGCATTTAGACAGATGGATGAGCCAGCAGGGAATAGAGGGTTACAGACTGTCTGCAGGCAGATGGGATTAGTTTAGAATGGTATCATGGGAGTAGGCACTAACATGGTGGGCTGAAGGGCCTGTTCCTGTGCTCTACTGTTCTGTGTTCTATGTTTTTAAACTGGGAAAAGCTGGTCATGGATAAAACAACAGAAGACCAGTGGAGGATGTTTAAGAAAACATTTAACACAATACAAAACCCATTTATATCCCTGAGTGGGAAAAGCTCCACTTCACAGGAAAAAATAGGCGTGGACAATTAAAGAGATAAGGGACTGTATACAACTAAAAGAAACAGCTTACAAAACACAACAAAAGCACAGATCCTGCTGAATTGGAAAGACCACAAAAGGTGAATAGCAAAGGGCCACAAAAGAGTTTATAAGAGATATGAAAAGGGATTACGAAAGAAAACTTGCTAGGGACAACAAAATCAATAAAACAGAATGTTTATAGTTAGATAAAGGGTGGGTGGTCAGGAGTAATGTTGGCCCACACAAGACTGAAAGTGGGGAAATGGTCAATGACTACTGGGGAAATAGCAGACAAGCGATTTTCTACCCAACTCTCTCAACATTGACTGCAGGACCTCATTTCTCTTTCTCGTTATACCATTGGTATTCACCATGAAGGTTAGCTGCTCATCGATACCATTCACAGAAAGTTGCAGCCATTTAGAAACATCCTTTTCTTATCATGGAAAGTATCAGTCTAGGGTTATTCTCAAATTAGGGCAGGTTGCAAAGCTGGCTGATTGCTACTGCTCTCAGCCAGTTCCCAAACATCTACCTCCCCTTGCTAAAATGGAAATGATTGCACTCTAGTTCCTAGAGCCTGTTGCAGGTAGAGATCAAGACTGAATGTGCAAACATGACACCTGCACTGGGACCTTGTACTTACCAGGGATACAGCCTCAGTGGTTGTCTCCTCCTGCAGACTGGTGCTGCTCACGTTCTTGTTCTCTGCTGAACAGAGTTCTGCCTGCAGGGAAGACCAGGGAGGAGTACAACAAATGCTCATGTTAGAAGGATAAATAATATCTATAGTATTTCCTACACTCCAGCTATTCTACAATGACCAGATCATGATGGAGTTGGAAAAGGTGATTATCAAAACAGGAGAGGCCAGAGACAGATTCCAGCTTAACGCAATTAAATATGCTCACGGCTCAGCAAACCATACTCCAGCCATTGCCATAATTATTATTCAGATTTCCTGCTACAATTTCCTGCTAATGGGCAAGGATAGAGGCAGGCATGAGGAGTAGCCATGAGCATGTGGAACAATGTAGACTCACAGAGTCATACAGAATGGAAACAAGCTCTTCACTCTCACTCACAAGTGCCGGACAAGTTTCCCGAATTATACTCAACAACCAAGTATTGCTGCCTGTAGATAATGAAAGATTAAAGGTCTCAGGAAGGGTGTTCAAATTATGAATGAGACAGGTTCATTGCTTAAATGCAAACAAAGGGACAAGATTCCATTTCAGATTCGGCTGTGTGTGAAAACCATCAGTAAGACAGAGATTGACTGGGCTGTGAGTGGGGACCATCAGTTATGTAGAGACTGACGGGGCTGTGAGTGAGGCCCACCAGTTATATACAGACTGACTGGGCTGTGAGTGAGGACCATCAGTTATATAGAGTCCGACTGGGCTGTGAGTGAGGATCATCAGTTATACAGAGACTGACTGGGCTTGTGAGTGAGGATCATCAGTTATACAGAGTCTGACTGGGCTATGAGTGAGGACCATCAGTTATATAGAGACTGACTGGGCTGTGAGTGAGGTTCATCAGTTATATAGAGACTGACTGGGCTGTGAGTGAGGTTCATCAGGTATATAGAGAATGGCTGGGCTGTGAGTGAGGTTCATCAGTTATATAGAGAATGACTGGGCCGTGAGTGAGGACCATCAGTCATACAGAGTCTGACTGGGCTGTGAGTGAGGACCGTCAGTTATATAGAGACTGACTGGGCTGTGAGTGAGGACCATCAGTTTTATAGCGACTGGCTGGGATGTGAGTGAGGACCATCAGTTATATAGAGTCTGACTGGGCCATGAGTGAGGACCATCCGTTATACAGAGTCTGACTGGGCTGTGAGTGAGGACCATCAGTTATATAGAGACTGACTGGGCTGTGAGTGAGGACCATCAGTTTTATAGCGACTGGCTGGGTTGTGAGTGAGGACATCAGTTATATAGACATAGTAGGAACTGCAGATGCTGGAGAATCTGAGGTAACAAAGTGTAGAGCTGGATGAACACAGCAGGCCAAGCAGCATCAGAGGAGCAGGAAGGCTGACGTTTCAGGCCTAGACCCTTCTTCAGTTTTATAGAGATCATCAGTTTTATAGAGACTGGCTGGGATGTGAGTGAGGACCAACAGTTTTATAGAGACTGGCTGGGATGTGAGTGAGGACCATCAGTTTT